ATGATATCGACCAGATTACGGAACATCCCAAATCCGCTGGTGATATCCTGGTCTATAATGACATATAATCGTCTGCATGGCGAAAGTGTTTCTGTGAGTGCATTTATAGATATTTTGAAGAATATTGACTACAGAGATTATTGAATTGCAGTAGTTACACGTCGATTGTTGCTAGAGCGTGTGTATGGTATAAGCCACCGGCTGAGCAGGAAGTCACTGCCATAGGCTATGGCAATACGCAGTTTGGTAAGGAACGGGGAAAGTGGCCAAGTTTTTATTAAATTTAATATTTTTGCATCTTCCAGCTGGTACCTCATCACCACTCTTAATGAAAACTAGTTTATCGACCATATCCAATGAGGAGTGTAATCAACATTATGAACAAGATGATGAAGTGCTCAGCTCGGGTGTAGTCTCTACACAATTATGCGCAAAAGATTATAAAAAGCTGCGTGATACTTGTCAGGTAATATAAAATCAACTTTTCTAATATATGGTATATAATATACCACATGCCACCATTTTCCGTTAATTATATTTACAAAACTCATTTTCCAGGGTGATTCTGGTGGTCCTTTGATTGTGTATGAAAATCGACGGTTACATCTGTATGGCTATTGTGGGTATTACGTCGTTTGGTATTACAGCACAGCCCCGGGACATACACGTATTTTGAATATTTTGATTGATTGAGGAAACAATTTATAACTAAAACAAACATTTAGGTAGAAATATATGGCTTGAAAAATTATTTTATCTAATATTTATTATTATTTAAAGTAAGAGAGCAGATGACACCGCTGAAATTAATATCAAATCTTTAGGACAACCCTAATGATTAATATTTTTACGGCTTTAAAAAATCCGGCGGCAACTGACATATGTTTTTACAAAATTTATTGTTTACACTCATAAATGAGCTACACTAAGAAAAACTTTTTATTAAATGGAGCAAACCTTAACTCGAGAATCCTTTGAATGAAAAAGTTTTAGTTAAAAAGCAAAATAGTAATAATAGGTTTGTATCTTAACTGCGAACTATTACTAGCTAGAAAAGTTTTTGCTGGGCAAAGCGTTTCTTAACCCAAAAACTAACAGAAGAGGGGACAAGTTGAGAGCGTAAAAAGCTGAGCAGAAAATATCTACTTCCATATGCAGAGGCAGCTGTTAAAGCACATGTGATCAAGCGATATTTGACGCATTTGCTTTGATTTTGTTTATTTTGAATTGTAAAAATAAAAATTCTATTGATTGATTTTCAAGTGTTCATATGAAGTGATTGTAAGAATCCACATTTAGATATTTTCTTGCTAGTTTCTGTTAGTTTTCCGTTTCTTTAATTTTTCGTTATTTCGATCTTTGTTAGAGTAACCGTCAATTTTCTTCTTCATGATAGTTAGGAGCTACTAGCAGTTAAGATATTAAATTAATGAAATAATCTTCAATAGTAATGATATACTCATACTTAAACTAAGCTGACCTGCTATAGCATAGTGCACAGTAGATCGATGAACAATGCAACAACAACTTCAAAAAAAGAAGTGTAATAAAACGGTCTTATTATATCGAAGTTCGTAGCACCCAGTAGGAAATATTGAAGACGCTATAAAATAACTATATAAATTATCAGCGTGACGAGTTGAGCTGAGTTAGCCATTTTCGTCTGTTTGCCTGAAATATCCATTTGAAATTTTACATACGTCCTTTTTCCCCCAATAAGATACTCATTTGATCTGCCGATATCGGACCACTATAGTATGGTTTAAAGCTACCACAAACTTATCGGTCAAAATCAACTTTGTATGAAACCACTTCATTTGACCAAATATTGCGAATTTGGATCGATTAGCTCTACAACGCTGTAATCTACGAGTATATTTACCAGATCAGACCACTATAGCATATATCTGCCATACTAACTGGCGGTTCAAAATAAAAATAGATATATTTTATACCCTTATCAAGAAATGCACCCAGAAGGGTATTATAGATCCGGTGAAACCGGTTAAAAGTTTTTCTTATTTTAATTAAATAACAACAATTGCTTGATATCTTTTATATTCTTTGATGATTTGAAATTTTAATATTATTTGATTTCTACAGTCAAATTCAGGATTTTGTTCTTATCAGTGTTGCTAAGATGTGCACGTAAGATTATACTTATAAGCAAACATGCTTCAACAGCATCTTTTTCAACGAAGAACCGTGTCTCAGAACAAGTTTAGTCATCCTTGGTGGTCAGATGCGCGCGCTCGTTTGAAGTTCAGGTAAAAGGCGAAGGAAAACGCTTGCAAAATGGCAGGTCAACGCTTACACAGCTTTCAGCTTACTAGCAGTTGCACAATTTCTACTTATAAGTAAATATAAAATATAAAATTTAATTCTTTAAATCGTTTTCATTTATTTATTATATAATTTTTAATAAAAATGAAGACATTTCACTTAGCAATGGCCTGCCACGAAAGTGATCAGCCTTGTTTAACACCACGAAACCGGCTTGTCAGCCATATAACACGCGCTAATTACTCGCTGACCAAGGGTTGCAGGATTATGTTTGCAGAAGTTACAATGGAACAATGATTTCTGTGTTGCCCTCACTAGCGAGCCCTCAGACAAAAGAATATCGCAAATTCGTGAGTGTTATGGCAAATGTAAATAAAAAGTGCGTAAACATTGCAATAAAATTGACGCGTACTTACTTGTTTGTTTGCTTAATCATTATAATCTAATCTTCTCATTACAAATGTGAGAGATCACCGCAAATTCTCCTTTATATTCATAACAAATGGTGTTTGCAAAGAAATGAATCGTTTATGTGAGTAGTTTATACATACATACAAATAAAAATGTTTAAATTACATTTTTGTTGAGTCCCTTTACAGGCTGCCATAGGTTGGCGCTCTACATTTGGCAGCAGTGACATACAGATGTGGTGGCGCTTTAATCACCAGTCGGCACTTGCTAACTATAATACTGTCTTTACCATTCAGGAGGTCGCAGATGACATATGTAATCTAAATAAAAGTAAATATTTGAACTTCTACATTGTAGTGAATCACCGATTGTGGTGCGTCAGGCGTCGTTTGATTTAATGATACTGCGGCGAGGACACCGATCAACCATTACATCCAAGGTATTATCCGCGTTTAGAATGACATTGCAATTATACTTTTGAAGGAGAATACAGGCAGAACATCACTCCGAATTTCGTAGTACTAAAATGTAATTTGATTACAGTGCCGGGATATCCAGTAACTCTTGGACCAGTATATTTAGGCAAAACCACTATAGGTGGCAACGTTACGGCTATCGGTTATGGTAATACACAATTTGGTGAGTAAGGAATATGAAGCGATCGATGAAAAAAAGATACCGGGCAAGCTTAAAATTAAATAAAATACAACACTTTATACTCACCATATGGTAAATTTCTTATATATGTTAGTAATAATAAATTTGGCTACTTATTCTTCCGCCTATTCAGCCGGTTTATCGTGTCCTCCGCTAATGAAGGCAGACCTGAGTATTCTACCAAATCAAAAATGCGCCGAGCATTATGAAGAATATATATTCACAGTTATGTGCAAATGACCCGGTAATGAGGGGCGATACATGTCAGGTGAGTTGAAAATGTGTGGAAGATATTATTAAAAATGTTTACTCAGTTGGTTTTATTTTCAAAGTATTTTCTAATTTTCTTTGGTCATGTCGCCATATTTTGTTTGTGTGATTATTTTGTATTACTTCATTTATATAATTGTTATCTATATGTACGTGAACATAATTTATTGAAATACCCCACAGGGTGACTCAGGGGCGGTCCGATTATATTGCACCGTAATATCGGCCAGAATTATTTACGTACCCTACATAGTTGGTATCACCTTTCGGCATTGGTTGCGGTACTGAGTCCAGGCGCATACACGCGTGTCGCCATTTATATAGACTGATTGAGAAAGTTGTCTTCAACTTCTACGAAAACCTAATATTTTATAAAACTAAATAAACATATATACTGGACAATTAAACATATATATGTATGTATGTATATTGTAAATTTTAATGCTTCACATTTTGTTGAAACAAATTTTCGAAAAATAATTTTAAGTAAACAAACTCTTGTTACCTTTTAATGGAACGTTTATTGGGTTTGTTTGGCATTATTTAACTGACCCCTAAAGCATATATAGCTGACATTAAACGGACCGATCCAAAATCAGTATAAAGATCTTCATAAAATAACATTATTAAACAAAATTTCGCCTTTCACTTAGACCAAATTGATTAGCAATATTTAGCATTATTGATATAATTTAGATATAGTTTGACAAAATTAAACTCCAACTCAAATGCGCTTACCTTCGTCTTTATACTAGTTTTTAAACTTGTATGCTAGTATAAAAATTAATTACTGCACTCAGCTTGATCTAAGTCGAACAAGTTTAGTCATCCTTGTGTACACACAAGCTTACCGTTTGACATTCTGGCAGGAATCTGTATAAATATGCAAACTTTTTGCGGGCGGTATTGGCTTAATTATCGTAATACACTTCTAATTTGGGTAATTGGTAACTTATATAAAGTTTTATTTTGTTTATCAGGCATTATTCATTCGCAGTTGTGTGCAAATGATACAGTTGAATGAGCGATACTTCTCAGGTGAGAAAATAATCTGAAAGATATGCTCTGGTGATTTCTATTTTGAATGGTCGTAACAAATATTTTTAAACCGCAGGAGTACTCTGGCGGACCCATTATGATGTACGGTACTGGTGATGATAATTACTTTTACGAAATGCCGTATCGGTTGCATCACCCCATTCGGTAATGGTTGCGGTCTCTGGGGTGCCGGGGTGTACACACGTGTCGCCAGCTATATAGACTGATTGAGAAAATTGTATACCGAGAAAATAAGAAAATAATGTAATTGATGAACGCAATACTTTCCACAAAATTATATAACCAAAAGTTCACGAAAACTAACCTAAAATATTTTCATTTCTGGCGCTTACATAAGAGTGCTCGACAGTTATTTCATATTTTTGTTGTTTTGTAGCACCAAAGTTCTACAATTTGGGATTTCCGCATAAATGACGGCACGTTTTGACAAACCTACCCACTAGCCGTCAAATTGTTTGTGGTGTGATGTCACCGCAAACAGCTGGAGGCGCTCATAGTTCCAAATAGTGCATAGATGCGGTAACAGGCTCAAATGTTATGCCAAACATGTGACGCCTGCGCCTGCGCACAACCATGTCACCAGACGCCCTGAAATACACACATACATTTAAATACAGATTTTATTGGCTAGACAAACAATTTTGCTCTGGCGCTAATCGCAGCTCAATTATTAGGAACTACACGAGGAGGAGTGTAGTTATTTACATACATATATATGTATATGTATTGTACCATGTGCACGAAGAAGAAATGCATCAGCCAGACGTGGTCGCATCAACGCCTTTACTAACACGAGTCACCGCTGATATAGGCATTGTGGCGTCGCCACCTTAGCCACCACAGAAAAATGTGCCAAACACTTCGCTTATTGTTGTTGCAGCGGCTATCATGCACCGAATTAATGACCAGATACAGCAGGCACGCTGCGTGTAAAATAAAATAATACAAATTGAGTGAAACAGCCACACACAGCTGAATACTTATACTTGTATGTACATTATGGCAGCTTTGTG